AGGGAGTGGGCTCGGCTCAAGCGGTCCTTGCATGGTAACAATGCACCTGCACCACAAAGTTTGCCTGTGCCGCAGTCTGCTCGATCGTGACTCCCCAGTACACGATCGATAGTGTGTGTGTGTTCGCGCGGGGTAACCGGGACTATTGGGGGTGACAGCGGCGCCGAACCGGCACTAAACCGGGCATGCCCTCAATAGTGCCGGTTTGGCACTATTGAGGGCAGTGCCTGTGTCCAGAGATAGATTTTACCGGCACTAAACCGGGCACCTGGCACTATTCAACCGGCACTAAACAGGGCCCAGTACTGTATCTATTTACATCAGCATGCATTGTGCGGAATATTTGGGATAGTCTAAACGGGCATCGGAGCACGCGTGTCGGAAAGACCACATGGCATGAATGAATGAATGTGCATCCAGGCGCTACCCACCACTTGTCGGCTATTGAAGTGTGTGAGCTGAGCGAATGAATAATGTTGTGTGTGGGCGCCTAGACTAGAGAGAGAAAGGGAGAGGGAGAGAGAGAGGGATAGACAGAGAGAGAGCGAACAAATAGAGGGCAGACTGTAGATAGAGACAGACCTTCGCAGCAATATTGGAAGAAGATGCCACGACGCAGTGGGTGCGGATTGTTAGAAAGGCCACCTCCAGGCCCTATTTACACCTGGTATGTATATGCATACATATATGCCTTGAAGAATGGACACAGCACATTGCCTCTACCCGTCCATGTGGGTGTCAAAGGCACGCCGTCACACTCACTCATGGCTGACCTACTCTACTCTGTATCTCGATTTTGCAGCTGTTGTTGACGCCCAAACCAAATCGCCCAAACCAAATCGCCCCAACCACCGTATTCTAACAACACCAGATACTGCTGTAGGCTTGCTACGCAATACCGAATCATCAGGATGGGCAGGTGGACAAGGCTCGAAGGAGCAGAGTCGTTGCTACCTCGCTGCTCATCGGGAGCCGACATCACGGGCGGAGAGAAAAACGTGACGGACCGAAAGCCGACTGTTGTACGATGATGATAAAGAGCAAGCAGCACAAGAAAAAGGGATGGACGCAAGAATCAAGCAGCTCGAGTGCTCAACAACGCCATCAGTGTAATCAGGTGCGCACCTCTTCCTTGTAATCACCTTTAGCAGAGTAGTAGTCCGTCCACAGAACAGAACCAGGCTGCTGCTCCTCCCCGTTGTTCTTCCTTGATATTGCCTTTCTACTCCTCGCATGCCCAGCATGCAGCCAGAATTCACCACAAGCCCTGATCAGGGCTGGTCCTTGCTGTTTAGCACCCAGACATACTAGTCACCCAGACGCAGAGAGAGTTAGAAGTGGAAGATCCACAAAAAGAAGTCCCTGTTCTGATTGTAGTCTACTTCTTCTTGGGCATGATGAGAAGACCACGTTTATTTGAAACTTTCCAAAAAAGGGCCTACTACATCGATTACTCTTTTATCAGAAAAGCGGACTATCATATCATCTCGGAAAATTAAGCGAAAAAAACAGGAAAAAAACTACAAATATGTTAGGTAGACTATCAATAAAATTGAAACGAGAGTTCGAACCGCAACCCAGAGTTGTTTCCCTCAAAAGCATCCAAAATATTATTGGATGGAGGTAAGATCGCAAAGTGCACTACTGATTATGTCATGCCACTTTGCAACACAGCACGAGGGAAAGACTTCACACGCGCACATACATCACACATGCTCCACAATCAACCCTTGAGCACAACATGATGCCCTTCTCGCTTGCACGCTGATAACCAACAGCAGCGCGACAAGTCTATGTGGAGACGACAATACACACACCACATGGAACGCGCGTGGTCGGAACATATTGTCGTCTCTGGAAATAAATACCCCGGGATAACGAATACAACATAATAATCGATCGTCATCGCGGGTAGGGGTATACATTAGATCATAGGGTCGCAATCGGCCGCGTGAATGACCGGTGATATCGCTTGGCACCGACTTGCCGGATATTTTGTTTTATTTTTTTGTGGTTTTCACTTCAAAAATCAGCGCTCACAGCACTTGTTTGTTATGCCGGTCACTTCAACCCGCCCACGGTCACACACAGAGGAAGGGTTCCTGAGGGCCCCTACCCCCACCCCTCCTCCTGTGATACTCTCTCTTCCTATTTTAGTGCGAGAAGAGTGCAGCACTCTTCTCTCTCCCCTCTGTGTCTGTGTACACAACAAACAGCCCTTTCTGCCCAGCAGGCCAGGATCGGTAGGAGAGAAAAACTCACTCTGCAAGCTCGCACACTAGCCGGTCGCCCCGGTGGTCTAGTTGGTGGCCCCGTAACCTTCTAGAGGTCAGGTCAGGGGTTCGAATCCCGGCGTAGGCGAGCTTTTCTTGCAAAGTGAGTTTTTCTCTCGCCTCCGCTCCTGGCCAAGTGGATAGCGCTAGTTCGTGTGTACACAGAGGGAAGAGAGTGCTGAACTCTTCTCGCATTAAAAATTGAAGGCAAAGTACCGCAGAAGGGGAGGGTAGAGAGGGGCTCTTCTGTGTGACCACGGGTTGGAATAAACGGCACTAGTGCTGTGAGCGCTGATTTGAAGTGAAGAACAAAAAAAAAAAAAAATACTAATACGCCGGGATTCAGAAAAAAAGAAAAAATGGAGGGCAAACGGCGTGAGGTGTGACGTCACAGTAATGACTTCTTGAAACACATCCAAAAAGAGGAGAGCAGCGAGAGGCAGTTCAGATCTTGATTCCGAACTGAACGTGCTCCCGATTTCCAAGACCTATCGAAACAAAGGTTTTGTTGTGATCAAAGATCCGTCCGCAAACACCCTAGTGTCTTCTTCGCTCAGTCACCTAATAACGGAGGCCCACCCCTGACCTTTGCCTAACGCGTGGTGAACTTTGGCCGATCGCGCTTTCGCCTCTCAGAATCAAACTGCGGTGTGCACTCTGTCTTGCTGCTACTGCTCTACCGATGTTCCACTCCTCTGCTACATCCCCGCCCTCCTTGCTTGTCCATCCCCCCAACGAAACTTCCCCGCTATTTCTTTCTTCCTTGCCACAAACACAGATTTTGCTTCGTTCACATTTTTCTTCTGCACCTTCCCAACATAACATATATGAGACACACAAGACAGCTGCCAAACTGTCTTGTTGAGCCTGTTACCCGCAGGGGAGATGTCCCTATATGCTATCTGGGAAATCGTAGACATACAGGTACTTTCTGACGCTATGAATTCATTGCTAATCTGTCTCAGACTCTTTTCTATGACAGAGATGGATTCGTTGTGTCATATTAAGAACAAAAAAAACATGAGTCGGCTTTTTAGACTAGTGCGAAACGGAGGCTATGCATACGATTTCAGTATTTTGTGTGGCAAAGCACGCGCATTCCCATTTCTTTCGTGTTTTTTTCACGAAGATTGTGATGGACAATATGGCACTGCTCTGTTGGCGGATCGAGCAAAAACAAAATACTCTTTAGGGAAGGATCGGTAATGCGTTTACCGAGAAAGGCTGCTGCTGATGAAGGCGTTGAGTTGTGTTTACGGGGGGGGTGGTTCCGAAGCCAAGGAAACTGCGGTGCCGCCGGACTCTTTGTAGTGTGAGCAAAGACTATGACTATAATAACCAAAGAATATGACTATAATAACCTGGTTATTATAGTCATAGTCTTTGGTGTGTAGTGGTGCTTTGGCCATGCAGCGCGCCAAAGCCAAGCGAACTACTAACTGCTGAAATCACAGCGAAGTAATCCGTCGTTGCATGATTCGAGACATGTAGCGACTGCGTTGTCACGAAACCAACAAGCAAGGATGGACAAAGCAGTGGTCACCCTCCCCCCATCTCCTATTATCCTTCAACGGAAATGAATGCCGCTTGCTTTCCCTTGCAGCACGCGATAGAGATGATACTCTCGGACGCCACCCTTTCGAGCTCCGGGGCGTGCGGTTGATACTTGGCCTTGTCTTTCCCCCAGTATTTCGTCTTTCAAACCTGTACGTCGTCCATGTTGCCGTCGGTTGTATTTTTACTCTCTTCTGCTCCCTCTGCGCCACAGTCTCTAGCTACTTTGATATTCATTCCTCTTCTACTATTTATTTTAGAATCGTTTATGGGGCATAACTTCGTCGTTTCTTGATATTTTTTAATTTTGGAAGACGCGGTACCTGGCAAATTCCAAGAGCTATCGAAATCTGGTCTCAGATTTCCTCTCTGAAAAGTACACCCTCCAGCAGAAGTTGAACAAAATTTTCTGGTTATTTCGAAATACAAAGTGGAACTTTCGAGTTCTTCTGCGCCTGGAGACTGGGCTTTTGACGGTGTCTTTGAAATTTCTAACAACAACCCCCACCCCGAGAAAACTGCACGGAAGTGCCGGGGAGAAAAGTGGCGTGGAAGCCCCAACCGGACCATGCGTTCACGTCTCCCCAGGGTGGGCTAGTGTGATGGTATTCGATCCTGTGGCCTTCTGGAAGGGTACATCTTGCAGATACCGACCATTGCCTGAAAACTGTACTGCTGTTGCCCTCCTTGTCAAGATTGTTGTTCAGCAGCAGCAAGCAGTGCATGCGTTCTCTCTTTCTTTTCCAGTGCTGCCAGAGTGAGTGAGTGACAGCGAGCGACTGAGAGAAAAAGGATAAGATGGCCTGAGACGAAGCCGCTAACCTGCACACAGTGGTCGGATTCGTTCCATACTCGACCTCGCCACACGAGATGAAACAAAATATTCCCAACAGACCTCGCCACACGAGATGAAACAAAATATTCCCAGCACAAACCAGTCCCTGAGCGAAAACCTTGCGCGTGCGAAAGCCCTCCTTCTAGAGTCCCCATGTGCTATAGTCAGCTTGGACGACTGCCGACTAGCCAATATGATGTTCTCATAGTATTTCGTCCATTTTCACAAACAGGAAAAGTTCTCAGCTGGTGAATATGTAGGGGTTCTGCTCCCGTCGCTTCGGTGCCAACCTTCATAACGATTCAACACTGGGAGGGGGGGGGAACATCCAGGCATACTGTAACACAATCAAGATAGACGCATTTCTCACTCTGTAGACTAAGGGAGGAGGAGAGATGCTCAATCTACGCGAACCATCAAACCTCACCAACGTTGCAGACGCGCTGAGCACACACGAGCAAGAGTGGCCGTGGGCCTCACACACGAAGCCATCAACTCAAACGTCGAAACAAGCAAACCCCCCTGACACATTCGAAGCGGCCTTTGAGGATCCTCCACCCTCATCCGGAGGAATAGGACGACAAAGCAAAGTTGCGTTATTAATAATGACCTCAACACCACATCCGAAGCATCAAGGATGAGCGATGCCTCTTGCTTCCGCTAGTCGTCGCTCCACCTTCGTCAGGACAATTCCAGCGGCCCCGTAGCCTGTAACGTCACACACGAGCAGGGGATGCCGGGGGGGGGGGGGGGGGGGAGGGGGTACTCAAGCTTCTTTGCGTACTGATGACAGCTGCGTATGACTTAAAATTTTTTCTGGTGCTTTCACTTCCAGAGACTGTAAATAAGCACTGTATAACTGCCTCGAGGGTGCTTGACCATTTCAACACAACGTGGTGCGATCATCCCCTTTGCGCGGAGTAAGGGTTCTCGACCCCGCACAACACAATCTACTCGGCCACCACTATGAGAACCGCAACAACAAAAAAAAAGAGCAAAAAAAAAAACGACAACCTGGTTGCCGAGCTCACGAAGTGTTCGGCTTGTTTTACAACGTCGTTGCCAAGCGACAAAAACCCAACCCCGATGGCACACACAGAGGGGAGGGGGATACCCGGTGGAGGGGGGTGTAATTGAAACAGGGACGGAGGAGGAAGGATTCATGCATAGAACGGAGTACGCCTGGGGGTTCCGTGTTTTTGTCATCCCTACCCCAAGTAACGCACGCGACATGTCATGGCCCTTCCCTCACCCCATGTACCGGTGCAACGCCTTAGTCAGGCGTCGTCGTCATATATCGTCTTTCCTGAAACGAAGCATCCCTCTGTTCTTTCGCTCGGTGTTCGTGCCCATCCTTGTAATCTCGGGACACTATCTATGCCCGCCTTTTGCTTATCCACAGCACGTTCCACGCACACCCGACAGCTAAGCCATGTCGCGGAATTGATCCCTCACTTGGTCGCCAAACGCAATCCAGGGCCCTCTACAGCTCTATAGGGCGGGTGAAATATCTTGTTTGGCACAGAAAACAATGCTATCAAGTTGTTTTTCATGCTTTAGATCGGGCGGTGCTCGATATTGTAGTGGGCGTGTGAACCTGCCTTGCACGCATCCACCCTACCGAGGGTCCACGAATGTGTGCAACATTTCAGCCTCTTCCCTCTGTCAGTTGCTCTCCATTTGCTTTACAATACTGACGAGATCATGGATCATCCACGAGATTCGTTCCACCTGATATTGATTCAAAAAAATCTCGATCCTATCATAGATGCAAATCCATTTTCAGCTCACAACATTACAGTCCTCAATCATCTCCCAACCTCACCAACACTTTCTCAGCCACCCTTGTCATGACTTCTCTCGCGCCCACTCGTTGTATCCCTCATCTCTCTTCGTAGACCTCTCTCTCAACCAAACACCCCTACCCCTAAGAAAAACTTGTACACCTCCGTCCATTTCACAAGACCAGGATGTGCGTTTGCGTCACTTGCTTCTCTATCAACAACAAAAGCTCCCCAATCTTGTATCTCACCGGCAACTGTCTCCTGTACCAGATGGGTCGCAGCCTCATCCCTGCTGAGACCAGCCAGCAGGCTAACGTGTTCCAGAACAGACGGAGCGGGTAGATCCAAGGCGTGGAGTACGTTCGATAGGTACTTAAGGTCTGCCTCCAGGTGCTTTGTGCCTCTCTCGCTGAGTTGGGGGAGTGATAGAACCTGCGGGAGCGACGCCGGCAACAAGTATTGCGAGGGGGGGGGGGGGGGGGGGGGGGTCATGGTTTGCCTTTCCAAAAAAAAAAAAAGGGGGAAAATTTTTCGGATTACGGGGAAATCTTTTGAAAAAAAAAAAATTTTTGGGGGGGGGGGGCCGGAAAAATTTCCCCAAGGGCCCAAAAACCAAATGGGGGGGGTTTACCTTTAAACCCAAAAAGGCCCCTTTTTAGAAGGCCCCCCAAAAGGGGATTTTTTCCCCCAA